GAAACACATACAATACTACAACATATGTTGGTGAAACCTAAACCAAAGAATATCATGACTCACTACTTTCACTCATCTATGCTGAAAACAACTGAATTTTGTTATATATTAATTTATATCTCTTAAGACATATGTTAATTACATAATTCCAATTTTTCATTTATCAAAATATTTATTACACAATTTTTAAATTATTTTTTAAGAAAAACTGTCCCAGCCGACTTGCGAGGGCTAAAAACGTAAAAAAAAAAACTCTTTTTTTGTTTGTTCACAAGGGGTTGGTTGTAATTTCAACAGCCTTTTAAGTTACTTTTGCATTTGATTCAAGTTTGGGTTTACTTTTGCATTTCAAATCAAGTTTTGAGTCATATTTGGTAATTTTCCCTTAATTGTTTGAGGTTTTTTTTTGAACAAAATGTTTGAGGTTTATATAAATTTGAGATTTAACTTTTAAAATTTTATATTTAGGTGTTTAAACCCTACATATATATAAATTCGAGATTAAGTTTTTAAAATTATTAAATTTTGAGTTTAAGATAGAAGTTTTAAAAAATTTGTTTAGGGGTTTAAATTCTATAATTATATATATATATATATAATTATTTAGTTAGGTACTTTATAATATACATGATAATTTATTTTTAAACATAATCTTTATAAATATTATTATTTTGGGGTTTGAGATTTATAATGAAATTTGAGGATAAAATTTTAAAAGATTACGCTTTTAATTTTTGGGGTTTGAAGTTTATACTCTCACAAAACACAAATAAATCTTCACGAGCTCCTTTTCTCCTCTTCTCCATTTAAATCTTTATGAACTCCTCTGCCTCGTGTTCTGCTTCTCACACCATCTTCGACCTGTCTCAATACCGCTGCATCTTCGACTTGTCGCGTGAACCAGAAGGCACATGATCAGTGGTATCCAAGACTGTGGTCAAACAAAACATATTTTTTCCTGCAGTCTTGAAAGACAAACTCATTAATTTTTACTTGAATCAATATCTACTCCAAGAATGCTCCGGCAACAAAACTTATTAGCTGAAGAAAACAAAAACAAAAAGAAAAAGAAAACCGATGATCAGAGAAAGACAATTGATTATACAAAGTTTGGAGATGGTACGTAACAGCTTCAAGGTATTACCAAAAGGAAAGAACAACAAGAGAAAGTTTCAGACTTTAATACAGCAAGAAAACTAATCTACTAAACAGCTTAGTGTTTAGTAAAACCTAATCTCTTTGACACATCCAAGAACAACACTGTTGTGATGATTATAATGAAAACTTTTACCAATACGGATGGTCTATGATGCCACTATTGCAGCCAATGTCAAGACAGTCCTTGCCTTGAAACCATTCTTTCTTCAACACTTTAACCCGAGGATCCTCATCCATATCATTTTTCATCTAATAACAACACCATTACAAGGTTTGTCCAAAAAGAGATGTAAAATCAGAACTTAGAACATTAAAGAAGGATGAAAGAGAGAGAGTATGAAGGAATATGACTCAATCTATAGCCATAGTAGTTTTTGTAGTTTCCGAACGGATACAAATCTTGGGTTCTCTTCTTCTTCTTGTTTGGGTTTGGGTTCCCTTGTTGTTGTTGTTGCTGCTTCAGCTTCTGATTATCTTCATTAGCTATCACTTGCTCTTGTTGTTGAATCTGCCTCTGCCAAGCTTCAACTCCGAGGGTCTATAAAGCCAATTCACACGAAGCTTAAAGTTGTTGCCTTCTTTCTCAGGAAGGAGAAAACGGATCAAACCAATAAACGGTGGGCAATCCTGAGGTGGCTTAAACAAAGCACAGTCCCTAACACTAATCCTCCTCCCGTCCTGGATTCAAAAAAAAAAATCAAACCTTAAAATCAAATTGAACCAATCAAGCGACAAACCTTTACAAAATCTCGAATTTAAATCCAATTGAACCAATCTTCAACCCAATCAAGCCAGAAACATTAACAAAATCTCGACTTTAAATCCAAATGGATGAAATTAGGGAAAAGGGAATGATTTTGAACCTTGGTGAACGAAGAAGGTGAAGAAAGAGAGAGAGGCAAAGAAGAAGCAGCGTCCAAGCTTGAAATTAAACGAGAAGGAGGTCTAATCATAAGCCGACGATGACCTTTCTTCCTCTCCTCAGAAAGCCTCCTCTGGTTATGGAGGAGATGACGTCGTCGGATGCTGCTTGTTCGATTTCTCGTAAAGTGACAGGGGAGAGAATTGATTTTTTTTTGTATATCAAGCCCGGTTAAAGGTTAACTTAGAGTATTTTTCATTGTTGTTCAAAAAAGTATTTTTGACTAAAAATTTGACATATTTAACATTTACGATAGCGTTTAATTTTAGATTTGTAATGATAAGGCACCTATACTTAATAAATTAACGCGGCAAAATTTTTTTATTTTCCCGCGATACCGAACATAGCGTTTTAAATTTATAAACGCTATTAAAAACTAATATTGGTATACAATAGCAGAACTGTCAAAAACGCTATAATTTAATGCTATTAAAACCCTTATTTCTTATAGTGTATTTGAGAGAGTAATTCACTCCTTAGGGTAATTTAAGTGATATCAGTCGGGCCCGGGGAACCTAAAGGTAAGGTCCGGGCCTTAGGTCTTTTTGGAGCCGGGATCTAGAGGCCGGTGCCCAGCCCGGGGGGCTGGAGGAATCTGGTGCCTGGATAATTTTTCCCAACACCGTCAGTGTTAAACACCAGTTGTCGTCGGACAGTTTCAGTGGCTGCCACCGCCGCGAGAGGTGTGAGGAGGGCAGCGATGGCGTTAAGCTGCTCGTACGTCGCTTTCTGAGCTTCGTCTTCTCGAGCAAAGCGCTCCATGACAGTATCGACGAAGGCCGGAGCGAGCGGTGCAGCGGCGGTCGGAATAGGTGCTACTGCGTCAGCTTCCTCGGCGGAAGTCGACTCGTTTACCGGACTCATAGCTTTGTTGGCACTTCTTTTCTATAGCCCCACGGTGGGCGCCAAGTGTTCAAACCGAGTACGGTCTCTTATCAGTGAGAAGGTGACGTAACTCGTCAGTGGGTTATGACAAAGGCGTTCTATGCAATAAGTAGTAAGAGAGTCGTTTTATTGATGAGAGAGTTTGGTTTACAAATAAGGAAATGAGAGGCAAGGCAGCGTCGCTCGGAGAGCTAAGCCGTGCCGTACAAGTCGGAAAGAAAGTACAAGAGTGAAAACCCTAATTCTAGCCGCCTTAATCTTCTTTTGTTGTAATATATTTCGATCTTCGATCGACTTTTCTCTTCCAGTTTTCGATTTTGTTTGTGTTTTCAACTCTAAAACTACCTAATACTTTAATATTAAAACCAACATGAAGAATCATATTAATCTTTAATGATGCAATTAAATACAATAGAACAACTTAAAAGTTTACTAACCATGAAATAAACAGTAATAAATAGCTAAATTTAAATACAAATTAAAAAAGAGAGACTACTCTCTACTTTTAGAGAGAGGTTTTCCTCTCGATAACCTCTGTCCACCGATCTCTATCATTCATTGGAGATCGAGCTTATCTTCTTTTGTTGTAATATATTTTGATCTTTGATCGACTTTTCCCTTCGTGTTGTCGATTTTGTGTTTTCAACTCTAAATTGATCAGTTTTTTTTTATATTTCTCTTCTTCTATCGATTTTGAGGTTGAATTTTAATAAATTCGCGTTGGTGATGTCTCTTCGCTTTAGGCGATTTTTGTTGTGTTAACCTTAAATTTGAACTATTTCTTTCCCTGACAAATTAATATTCTGATTGGTTTATGGCGATTCTCGTCTTTTCGATAGATAAAATTGGTCTCTTACTTGAAAAATGTATTAATCTTCATTTCAGATATTAAGGCGAAATACCCTTGAAGGTATGAGTTCGAGATGATTGATTAAGTTGAGGAGACTTGATACAGACTTAAATTGCTGGAGTTTTTTTGTTGAAAGCGTTCTGGCAAAGTTTTATGTCTATATCCTTGAAGGTTATCACCCGACTTCTTCTTTAGTGTGAAGATGTGGAATTTTCCAAGATCGTCGGCGAACACGGGAAGGAGGAGCGGTCAACGGTTTCAATCAGGCGAAGAAAAAGGTAGATGGTTCTTGGTCCAGTAATTTTCCGGCGAAACTAGAGGCACTCTTTTCGGATCCGGAAACGTTAAGTTCCACATAAAAGTGTATGTGTCAATCATGTGTCACAGTTTTATTTTTTAGAAACATTTATTTTTCTTATATCCTTATCTTTTTGATTGGGCTTCGACTGTGCTAAAAATATGTATGATAATGGGTTGTAATCTCTTGTAAGTTTGGGTTTTAGCCCAACTAATAAAATTTTTGACAAAAAAATTACAAATTACAAAAGTTAATATCCTACTATAAAAAAGCATCCCAAAAAGTCAATGTTTTAGTCAATAAAATTACTACACGTCATCTAGTCCATTATTAAAATGACCGTAGGCCATTCTGGCCCAACTTTATAATTTGTTTATGTTTAAATTTACTGCTTCCTCTTCCCATTCTGACCATTCTACCCTAAAACTTATTGCTTCCTCTTCCTTACCCTAATAGCCTCCGACGTCTCCAGCGACTCCTCCATATCCTTTCGTCTACCCAACTCCACCGGCGTTACGCCTAAGACTACAACAATGCCACCTTCAGTGCTCCTTAATTACTCATCAAGCGAAGACTCTGAGTACCTCTCCACGTCCCTGCTCACAAACAACGATACCCCTGCCTCTTCAAAGACCCATCATTACTCACACAATTGAAACTCATCCCAGCTCTCTCCTCTCCCCCTTCAGACTATATATATACCCTCCCCAACCCAAAAATCTCAAGCATCCTCAAATTCATTCCTAACACCATGGCAAATCAAACGGCAGTCACCACCGCGCAAGCTCCTTCTCCGCGTCTCTTCAGTCAGGTTTCAGCAAGACCAGGAGATTCTAAGTTGATATTTAGGCTAATCCATTTCTGGGAAGCTAGAAATAATTTGAATGGAGGCATACTAATTGGGTTCGATATGCTGATTATTGATGAAGCACTATGTGTTGATGCCTTATTTTCTTCCGAATTCCTAATTGTATGGCTGTCGATAAGTGAAAATAGTGAACGAAAATGTTTTAATAGGGTGAACGAAAATGTTTTAAGGAGGTCGTTTTTTTTTAATACAAGCCTACTATTTAAGATATGTTTGGGACCGCCAAACAAAATATATGTTTGGTTTGTTGTTCCACACCTTAATATATTGTTCATCACTGACTCTGTTTTGCATATTCATGATAGAGTAATCGATTTTGTTTTTTAAGCAATACTTTTTAAGATATGAAACTGAATTAGTTCTTTGCTTTGGTCTCTAAGGTACTGTAGCTCAGGGATTCATCCCTAAAAACCGTCTCAACCGATATGAGAATGATCTCGAACATGGCTGCATCTACACTCTCACAAACTTCTTTGCATCCAACAACAAGGTGATGTACTGTGTGGATGATCAGAAGCTGGTTATTTGCTTCACACACACCTCTGCCCTTTCAAAGCTTGAAGAAAATAGTGAAGCCATTTTGTCCCAGCGCTTCAGGATCCACTGCTTTGCAGATTTTAAAGCCAATTGCGATCATAGAGGAGGTCTTCATGGTGAGGTTTAGTTGAGATCTCATCAACTTAAAACTCTCTGAATATTCTGTCTAACTATGTGTGTGTGTTATAGATGTTGTTGGTAACGGAGTAAGTGTCTGCATTTCAAGCAATGAAATACATCGTTTCTTTAATAAAGATGATCCATCCAATTTTTTTTTTTTATGTAACATACACCATATTTAAAACTGCAGAGGTCCAATTTTGAACGTTTATCTACTGGACCAGGCTGCAGAAAATTTCAGGCATAAGATCGATGAAAACCAAACCACCCCATCCGTTCTCTTGGTTACAAGGGTTAATCCAAAAAGACTCGGTGGTAATCTTCCTCTCTCCGTACTAAACTACTCTCTAAACTCAGTTACTTAAACCTCCAGTCAATTAATTGCTTTTGTGTCATTATGTGTGTTCCACTTAACATGGAAGTTATGTCTAAGCTCAATGTCCTCATCTAGAGTTTTTTTGGACCACGAATTTCACGACACCAAAGAGTACTTCGGCTGTTAGGAATTATAGTTACAGTACTTCACCACTCTTAGTCATCACCTGATCAATAGTTATTCTTCAAGGTTGGCTGCGAATCCGGCTGCTGCTTCTTCAGTCAACAAGGTAGAGATAGTTAAATTTGAAACGCCCAAAATGCGTGGGATTGCTACCTTCATCAAGTGTGAACCTCAAAACACCTATGCCACCTTAGTTATTAACATTATAAACATGTAATTTTAGATTGCCTACTTTGACTGCATTGCCACAATCGATGATGTTAAGCTTGGCACTGAGTGGTATTTCATTGCTTGCAAGGATTGTCAAACAAAGTTAAACCAGGGACCTACAACTTTCATATGTCCAAAATGCAGAAATGAAAATGCTACTGCAATAGCCAAGTAAGGGTGTGATTACTCACATATTTGCATTCTAAAATNATAAATATGCTGAGGTGAGTGTCATTCTCCTATAGCCTTACATCTTAAGGGTCATCAAGTTGGTAACTGTATGCTGTTGTATCAGGAAAATGGTGGCGATGGTGCTGAGCATGAGGTCCCACTACCACAATGTTTCATTGATACCATAGTACAGACACACAAATTCAGGATCAAGGTGGCCCACTTCAATTTCACATCGGAGATGACCTTGACTGTTACAAAATTAGTCTCCCCAGCAGTCCTACCTCCTAAAGACCGACCAGCTGACATGTCAGCTCTGCCTCCAGCCAGTGAGGTGGATATCTCACTGGTGACTGAAAGCAGTGGTGGAGGATCTCCCTATGCAAACAGTCTTCCTTCATCTACTGACGAGCAGCAGAAACCAAAGCGCCCCAGGCGTAATGCTTGTAGGTGTCAAAATCCGTCACGACAAAATCAATGGCTAAAAGTCTCCGCAATAATAAGAATACGTTTTATAAAATAGGAGAAGTTGTTTTATAAAATTCTAAGGACTTTCCGAACAAAGGAAATCCACGCGAAACTTGAAAATTGTAATATCGGAAAAACGAACGAAAAAATCTCCGATTACACGATTGCCCGAGTTAAGCAAAAAACCGCATCCGCCGTAAATCGCGAGCATGTTCGACCGAACCAGTTCAACTGTACGTCGAGCTGACCGTCCCGAGCCTCGATTTCCCGCATCCTTGATGTAAGGAATACGTCCTTCGATTCGATCATGCTCTGAACCATGGTCGAAACGTCTCTGATCTCGTCTCAATCCGTCTCACCGTTCAGGTTTTACGATAAAAATCATAAAAGTCTTCTTTTCTCGTAAAGTTTGGGAAGATCGTATAAAACGGCAACGATTAGACGGAACATCGTACATTGCCAAACTAGACGATTAACTCGAGAAATGTTATAAAAACGGCATCGTATCAGGAAACGATCTCGTCTAAAATCGTAAAACGGTTTTTATCGCAAAACGGCTCGGACAGCCCAAAAGCGCAATAAAAGCCCCCTTGCGAATTTAAACGAAATCCATCCCAAAGATACAATGACCGTTTGATGATTTACTCACAAAAAGAAGATAAATGTCTAGTTTGAAGATAAATGTCAAGTTTGAAGATAAATAGAAGATTTCCGCAAGGCAAATGGAAAGATCGAGACAAATGGAAGATTCCCGATAAACTCGAATCTGGGCGAAAAGAAGGACTAAACCTCCTAAGGAGGGAGTATATAAGCAGAAGGCCAAGGAAAGAACACAAGGACGAGTTTCAGAGCTTTCACCACTAAAACTTAGCATTTAGGCAATTTTCCGTTTTTGTTATCGAGCTGCGTCTAAACTAGGGTTTTAGTCTTAGATTGCTAGAACTAGGAATCTCGCCGACGGCCACGCATCTAAAGCTTACTCTTGTTGTACCGTTCTTACGAAAATTCGGAGTAAGACTCCTTCTTGCTCTTAATCTTGTTTTTCATACTTTAACTTTATTCTCATCATCTTCTTCATTGCTTGTGTGCGGTTCCGCAGATAGCCGGGTCCTCTGAGAAATTAGGGTTTTCTCGAAGTTCCTAAATTTACGTAAAATCGACAGTGGTGAATTTCGGTTCCCACAATGCTTAGATCATCCTGAACTCATGTCACTCCATCAATGGCTGGTACAGACTGCCCAGTCAGCTTTCGTTTCTAATAACAGTCTTTTTTTCTCTTTCCCTTTGTTGTTTCTTTGCTACTCTTCCACAGACAGTTGGCAAATCGTTTTATTGTTATACTGATTTGTTTTTGCAACCCACGTATTGGTTATGCAATTCTAAAACCTTCTATGTTCTTCTGCTCCTTAAAAAGAATTTTAGTTACTCAAGATGAAACGAAGTAACAATTCTTCTTCATCCTATTATTTAGCATCAATCTTCACAAGCATTAGTAGAGCAAGGCAGATTTAAATCGACCACATTTAATATACAAAACTTTAACTGAACATAGGACCTAAATGTACGAGGTAGATTACACCCCTGCACAAGGCCCATAAGAAATCATGTTTGGCCCATCAGAGGATGACTAAGCGGCTTAGCGGCGACTAACGGATCAGCTAGTGCATGATCGTTTTTCGCCGAGTAAAGCCATTCTCCGCTTGATGACTAACAACCAGGGACAAACTGCTTAATGAGCCCCGAGTTTCAGGCCGCATAGAAGGCCCATTACGAGAGGCTTTTTACCGCACACCGACCTAAGTCAAATGAGAGAAGGATCCACTATAAAAGGAGAGCAAGGGACAACAAGTAGGGGATCCAAAAATAAACTTATTAGGCAATAGCTTAAACAAGGATTAGCCGTCGCGGTGGTTTGCCAGAGCTAATCAAGCGATTTTCTTTCCCCACTGCGTCGAAGGCGACTCTATCCCCGCCAACTGACGAATGAACACAGCTCACGCTCCTGTTAAGCATTCTCTATGGAAGTTTCCTCTGCCGCATCCTCACCGACGACCGATTCCACGCTTACTGACAAATGAAAATCGTTGCCCTTGCTATCAGCCGATTCCCCCGTGTTATTAAAATCCCTTACTCGATTGAGATCCGCACCAACCGCACCTACCGCACCACCCAAGACCTTACGATGAGCTTTTATCGCCGCATCCAAGAATTTTGGGCCGGACAGCGAACTCCCCGCGGTATCCGGATTGGTCATCACGCCTTTTCCCTTCTCGAAGTCCGAGAACCACCGAGGGATTGACATAATTGGATCAGTGAACGACCAAGCAATCGATCTCAGTCAGAAACCGGAATATGATACAAAAAAATTACAGAGGCGGCGACGGCTGATCTGAGAAGAACCCTCCGGTGAAGAGCGATGCGAAATAAAAAAAAAGTAAGGGGGAAGAAGAATGAAGGTACCTTTTCTTTTGGGCTGAAGAGAAATAATAGAAAGGAAAGAGGCTTCTCTGTTTATAGAAAGAAAAAAAAAGAAAGGGTTGTGCAATTCGAGAAATATGCCATTATTAGGTTTATTGGGCCTAAGAAGTAGCCTCATTACCCGTTAACTTGACCCACCGAACGGACGCTCGCTAGAGACAAGAACAATAAAAAAGAGGAATCANATAGAAAGAAAAAAAAAGAAAGGGTTGTGCAATTCGAGAAATATGCCATTATTAGGTTTATTGGGCCTAAGAAGTAGCCTCATTACCCGTTAACTTGACCCACCGAACGGACGCTCGCTAGAGACAAGAACAATAAAAAAGAGGAATCACGAGCTCCCAAGGTTCATTCGAGCGACCAACGACAGGTCAAGCGAGAGTCTTTCCAAATGCACTGCACCGGCTACAAACAAACTGGTTATTTTCTGAGCCCATACCTATAATTTCATTGAGAAGACTTGCACTCTTCACCAATGGATTAGGGGGGACTTACTGTTGGAGAGGAATTCCATTTCCCTCCACTAGGCCCATCAAATAACCAAACTCAGCCCACTCCCACTTGCAGCCCGATCGATTTTCGACCCATTTGACCGGTTGATCGTTTTCAAGATAACCAAAAGAATTGGTTTAGCGACTGATTGACCTAACCGGATCAACATCGACTCAACCGACCTCTCCTTTTACTAAAAAGCCCATTATGCGGATTTGGGCTTGGACTCTTAATGCAAATAAGTCTTAGGGCGAACGACGGGGATAGAGGTTGGAACTATATAAGGAAGACACATGGGAAAGAGAAGGGGATCCGAAAACACACACAAGAACTCAGGCAGCAAGGTTCATGGTTTTATCATCAATCGAACCTCCTTGTATTCTCGTCGGCGTTTTCATCAATTCTCCGACTTTCTTTCATTTTCTGTAATCTCCTTGTAATCGTGTTTACTATCAACACTGATCAATAAAACACCTTTGAAGAACCTACAGTTCGAGTTCGGTAATCGCTCAATCGACTTACCCAAACTCAGATTCAACATTCAGCCTGTATAGTAATGTTTGTACTTCCATACACATCTTCACAGCCAAATGATGCTCACTCCACAGCTCGTTCAGATGTGACAACAGGAAAGTAAGATCAACCAGGCAGTCCCACTTGGAGCAGAGGCCACGTGATACATCTTAACACATACACAACTTCATCTCGAGTCGTAGGAAGTAATGACCACATGACACTGTCGTTTCTGGATCGCAAACTCCACCACATAAATGTGTTCTCTCCTGCACTGATGTAATTAACTATCCTCCTGAAGTGAAACCAAAAAGGAGCCAAAGAGATTAATTAATTATGGGAACTGCTGCTCTCTTAATGCTCAACATTTACTCTCTTAAGAAATGATGATCCCTGCATGTTCATCATTTAAATTATTTATGCCAGAGCATGCAAGAGTTGTTGTATTTCCTATATAAAGGATGTGGCGTCTTTCTTTTAATATACACTGAATATACAAAAAATAAACAAGTTCTCTCATCCATTCCGTGCTCTCTCTTCTCTCTTTACTTGTGTTTAATCAGTGTTCACAATGTTGAGTTCTTGAGGATCACAGTTCTGTTGCTGCCTCATGGCAGCTTAATACTTGTCTAGATACTCACTAAACTCTTCGTATTCTCTTCTTTAACTCTAGCTTACTGATTCTAAATACTCTTTATCTCTAGCACACAAACTCTATGTGTTGTGTCACTACAGGAAATGTGGTTAGTAATAGCGGATGAAAAACGCTATGCCGATGTTTTAATAGCGCTTCCTAAAGCGGTCGGACAGCGCCCATTATAATAGGTCCGACCCTTTTAGTAGCGGTTTTTTTTTGTGCTATAAGTATGCGTACAACAATAGCGCGTTTATGTTCGCAATTGTTAATACTATTAAAACCTAATAATTTGATTTTTCCCAATAACAAAGATAGCAAACGTTACATGTTATTAATTAGTTTTTAAATTATCCAAATATTTATTAATTATATTAAATTTGTAATAAAAACAATTTAAATTCTTAAATTTTATTCAGTAATTAAACTTTGTTTACAAATTAAATCAGTTAATACATTAAACCAAAAAAAAAATCAAAACCTAAATAACCAAACCTAAATATACCAAAAAATTAATAACTTAAAAATTTACTACGTCTCTTTCTTCTCTTCGTGTTCAGCTTTACCTACACCACCACCACTAGCTTTTTCTACCATCTCCTTAAGCCTATGTTCTCTTACATCATCTGGAAAGTTAAGCATTATGATATACCATGATTTTGACCTGCTTTTAGCCATGGTTTTGATATGTTTTTATAAGTTTTATAAAAGTTTTGGAGTCTATTAGGTATGTTTTCAGGTTCAGGAGCACTTTGGAGTAAAAT